AGGCAGGACCAAGCCCCTCCCCCCTGTATCAAGGATGAGCAAGGCGTCCCACCTAGGGAATGGGCTCCAAAAAGCCAGCACATGCACCAGGGATAGATCCTGATCACACTGCCAGGGGCACCTCAAACAGACCAAGCTACACAGGCTTTGCTGACTCTCCATGGGAGGCCTTACCCTTTTGGAGGAGGGGATGGGGGAGGGAGGAGGGAGGAGAGGGGGATCTGTGGTTGGTATGTAAAACAAATAAAAAAAATTTTTAATTAGAAGGAGGAGGAGAAGGAGAAGGAGAAGGAGAAGAAGGAGAAGAAGGAGAAGAAGGAGAAGAAGGAGAAGAAGGAGAAGAAGAAGAAGAAGAAGAAGAAGAAGAAGAAGAAGAAGAAGAAGAAGAAGAAGAAGAAGAAGAAGAAGAAAGGAGGATTAGGAGAGTTATTGGACTTACCTGAGATTCCATGCCTCTTCCCAGGCATTTGTCTGCAATTCTTCCCTAATTGCATATGACCTCAAAGTCTTGGTAGGTACATACTTGAGGACATACTTGACCGGAACTTAAAGGAAGGGGGCATCTGTGAGTCTGTGGGGAAATCATCATCCATACTGACTAAAAACTTTTCAGTGCAGCTGCTTTGGGGGCCTATACTGTGGCAGACAACTCCTTACCCATGATCTGTAAACAGGCTCAATACAATATTTGGTTACCTGGGGTAAAGTTTGGTTTGTCCTTGAGAACTTATGAAGGACGGGTAAATATGGTTTACGTCTCCCTCGGGAAGGAATTCTTACCTCACTCATCCGTGATGGGTATGTTGATGAACATTGATGGGTGTGTTCTTGTCCAGATCGTGTGCAGATAAGCACAGCTGCAGTGAGTTCATTGCCTGTGGATTTGGGGCCACATACAAATGTATTGTCTAGGCTTAAGATGGAGAAATCCTGATTTTTTACCACCCCAAGGAAAAGATTTCTATTAGTCCTCAGCTAATCTGGAGCACAAATTCTTCTCATTTTATATATTTCTTTAGAAAGACTGAATAATACTAGAAGAATATTTTGTTACCAAGCAGTTGGCAACCTATGATTTGTGTCTTCTTTTATATCACAATAATCATTTCACAGAAGAATTTGAAACTGGTGTACTCGACAGGTCATCCACAAACCTGCATTTCTAATGAATTTCACAATTCATGCTACCAAGGGGAAGTAATATCTGTTCTTAGCTTGAACACAAACAGAATGTTAATAAAAGAATGGTTATTTTTTCTGATGTTCTGTAACTATTGATAGTATTTGTAAAAATTAGCTCACTCACAATGGCAGTATGCCTGAAACTATTCTTCACACTGTGATTTTTTTTAATATTGTGAAATTAAGTTGTGAGATAAGTTTTCCAATAATGTTGCTTATACTCTCCAGTTATGAAATTTATATAAAAATAAAACAATTGCATGTTTTTAATGAATTATTAGTGCAGGTAATCTTTTTTCTAGAGGCTTTCTAATGAAAACATGAAATTTGTTTAAACTTATCACTGTAGATACAACTTTGTCAGAATTTAATATTTGCCACCCTAGACAATCAAGCATTTTCAAAAAGCATGTAACTTTAGACACTGCTTCCTATTGCAATGTGGTGACTATGTGTCTGAGCTCTGGAACCTTTGGCTTCGTCCTAATGGGCAGGGGCCCCAACTCTCTTGACTCAGTTGCTGCCTTGTCTGCAAAATAGACAAAGCATTGATCAATCTTTGCTCCTTTTAAGTCTCAGGTATTTATCAGTGACAAAAAACTGAGATAGCAACTTACAAAGAAGGTTTTATTTTGGCTTGTGGCTTTGTTGTGGTCAGCCCGTGGTTGTTGGTCCCCTTGTTTTGGGGCCTGTGGTGCGTCGTGGTGAGGCATTGGGAGTGGAGCAAAGCTCTCGTATCACAGATGGAGTGTAAAGACACAAGAAGGGACAGGAGCCTCAGTCTGCTTCAAGAGCATGTCCTCAAAGACAACCCTCCTCTGAGCCCTACCTTCCAACAGTGCCAAGCTGGGGCCGTGTAGCAAATGCGTCTCCCCCTGAACATTAGTTACCTAACAATGTACCAGCCTCAAACACTGTAATGGTGTTTCTTGTCAATACCAGCCTCAGTAAGGCCCTTTCCAACAAAGTTTCCCACCTCCAGGGACCCTGATGGTCACCTAGTCAAATAAGAGTTCCTTCCTCTCTCAGATTTGCATATGTAGGGTCATGAAGCTAAACACCCCTTCTGTGGGCTGAGCTTGAAAGAGTCCCAGTGCTTGGGCTCCAGTGCCACCTCTTAGGTCCGAGACTTCCTGGAAGTCTTGCTTAATGTTCCCTATTTGTGCCATTTGTGATTGTTCTTTAAGAGTATAGTTTTGTGCTGTTTTAATCAAATGTAGGTTACCAGCATTTATAACAGTAAGTCAGTATAATAGAAATTGTTTTGCAGTTATCTTCACAGGATATGATCATAATGAGCTATGATAAAACAAGCTAGTAAGATATTTTCAACGTAAGTATATATTAGGATTAAAAATAGGGAAAATGGGGAGAGTAATGGTAGTTGGAATAGAAAAAGAAATAGAAATTTATTAATGTTTTGAACAAATAATGGGCTTCAAACAGTGTGAGATGTTATTCACTGAGAAGGGATAAAATCACTTTTGAAAACCATACAACTGATTGTCATAGTATATACCCATACTATGAGGACTTGGGAGACTGAGACAGGAAGATTGCGCACTTGAGGATGTATGGGAGACTGTCTCCACAGCTCCACACTACTTATCACTTGCCCATCTCTCAAATTAAGAGGCTGCTCAGCCAACATGGAGTCCTTGGTAGAATGAGCATGACTTTGTCGATCTAGTCTGGTTCAGTATGCTAGCACTTAGTGGGTTGTGGGGTAGGGCTCCCCTCTCTGCTTTTTTTTTTTGTTTGTTTTTTTGTTTTTTTTTTTTTTTTTTTTTTGGTTTTTCGAGACAGGGTTTCTCTGTGTAGCTTTGCGCCTTTCCTGGAACTCACTTGGTAGCCCAGGCTGGCCTCGAACTCACAGAGATCTGCCTGCCTCTGCCTCCCGAGTGCTGGGATTAAAGGCGTGCGCCACCACCGCCCGGCCCCCTCTCTGTTCTAAACGTTTTCTGCTTCAGATCCTTGATGGCTACATCACCCCCACCTCCTCCAAGCAGTAGCCCAGGAAGCCAAGCCCAAGCCCCTGGCTTTTATGCCTGGTTGAGGAAGCCCTTCTAAGCTTCACAGTGTGTGTTAGCATCCTGGCATCTGCTGGTGCCTCTGTGTTCCAGCATCCTGTTTTAAAGTCACAGCTGCTCCTGAGTTTGAGGAACTTGTTCCACTAGTGTTGGGAGCAGATTGCCCATGCAGTGGGCGTAGCCTGTGAGGCCCTAGGCAGCACTCAGACCTGCAGTTATGGAACAACGGGAAGGGAACAGCTGTGTGGTAGAGCGGGAAGCCTGCAAATTGCTGGGGGCATCCCTGGTGCAAGACAGTTCAACTACATGGTCCTGGGAGCCTGCGGGGGGAAGGTCCTTGTCACTGGGTAGCAGCTCACAGGAGCTACTCATGTCCTTCCTGATGGACTCTTGAACAGTGCAGAGATGAGCGGATGTCATTCCTGTCTCCAAGGAGTTCCCTGCCACTGTTCAGAGCTGTGCCTTCGGAGTTCCAGCATGCTGGGGTCCTGCCGACCTGAGGAAGCACAGGGTAGGAAGGGGAATCTTCTGGGCTGGTTTCCTCAGGAAAATGGGTGGTCTTTTCAGTTCGACACAGCTCTCAATTGTCCTTGAGAAGCTTTAAAATTTGCGGGGGGGGGGGGGAATGGAGATTTTTCGGATCAGCCATTAAGAGTAGTTTCCACTCTTGCAGAGGCCAGTTGTTTATTAGACAGTACTGTGTTGTCACTGAGGCACTGGTAACCCTGCCTCCCTCTCTCGACTGGCTTGGAGTCAGAGGAAGTCCATCTGGGCTTCTTGGGGACTCTATCACTGAGTGTCAGCATGGCCCTGGTCCTGAAGCCATTCTTCTGTGTTCCCTGTCTGTAGCTCACTCACTACAATACAGATTGTGTCCCACCTCTTTCCTTATTTCCCACTCGTGTTCAAAGATGGACTAGTGGTGTTCTCTTTGCCTCTGTTCTCCCATCCACCCACACTTGTTCTCGGCAGCCCAGAAAATCTTGGCACTCCTCATACAGCTACCAACAGATGCTCCTTGCCAAAAGGGCTCTGACATCAGCTCTGCAGCCAATGGCCCCAACTCTCTGCAGCTGTCTCCTGTTTCTTTCTGAGTAATATGACACCCACAGAGAGAGTGGGGTGAGCTTGGCCCCAGGAAGCATCCCTCTGTGTGCCTCTGAGCTCTCTGGCAGCTCTTTAATAGCCAGTGTGCATCACCAAGTGTGAGTAGATGACTGCACGACTAAGTACAATGTTTCACAGTGTAAGCTAACTAGCCATCACAGTTTGCTGGGTGCCTTGGGACAGAATCAAGTCCTCCTAACCAATGCTGTAAGTCTACAGTCAAAGCAGGCTTGTAGAGACTCGGGATAGCTCTCAGTAAAGTGCTCTCTTATGAGCAACAGGATTGAGCTCAATCTCCAACCCCTACTTAAAAAGTTAGATGTAGTGGTGTGCTTTTGATTCCAGTGCTGGGGCACTGAAGACAGGCAGATTCCTGGCGCTCACTAGTCACCTAGCCTAGCCTAATCAGTGAATCCCAGGCCAGGAAGAGCCCCTGTCTCAAGGTGGACAACACATGAGGAACAGCACCTGAGGTTGTCTTTGGTCTCCATACAAACATCCGTGCATCCTCATATACACAGACACACACATGTACCTACCTTCCTTCCACACAAAGGACATGTAAGCCCAAGAGAAGCAACCACAATGTGAAGCCACCCATCTAAAATTCCCAGGCTGTTGAGTCTACGTAGGTATGAGCCAAATGTTCTCTCCAAGTCCCAGTAGGAGCTGCTAAGCAGATCTTGTGTTTCTTCCTGATTTTTATCTACATTGCATACAATGAGGTATCAAATAAACACATCTCAGCACTCTGGTGCATTCACTAGTTTGAATTTTATATATAATTCTTCTCAGTGCTTACTGCTATGGAATTATTTAACGAAATGATAATGCACCAGCATGTATTTCTTTCAGTATAAAACCTGAGTGTTTCCATTTAAATAGTGTGTTGTACAGAGGAGCTTGTGAAACACATGTTCAATGGCTAGATGTCTTTGGAGGGTTTGGATTGTGTGAAATTTCTCAGTTCTGAACAATTTCTTCATTAGTCTTAAATCACCAGGTTGGTAATGAGGAGAGTGTGGTGAGGGGGAACTAAGAATTAAACCGTAAAAACCGGTTTCTGGGGGTGTTGCCACTCACAAGAGGGGACACAGAGAGTGACAAGTTCATGTGGATAGAGTGAATTAGAAATACCCATGGCACATCTGGAAACATCCAGAGTTCAGCTGAGGGGTCAAGTGTATTGCACGGTGATCACTTTGTGGAGGAGAAAAATCCTCAAAGGAAGCAGGAAGGAATGGCCACAAAGGGAGGAAAAAAGCAAGAGAAACTACAGGTCCCTGGAATCAAGGACAGGAAGTATCTTCCAAGGCAAACCATACAGAAAAATCAAATAAGAGACTGGGTTCTCGTTAACATGAGCACCAGGGGTAGGAGTCAATCGGAACTCTGGAAACACACCAGGGACATCAGCATGGGGTTGGTGTTGCTTCAAGATTCCAGATCTGTTCTTTGCTTTTCTCCCAGTGCCCCCATCATTTGTAGCTGTTCTGTGACTCAGCTAAGACCTCTCCACACTCTGAAAGTAGAAAAGGAAAGAGAACACGGTGTGGAGTGCAACTCACAGTTCTGTGACCAAAGTCACACCCTTCCCATTGGCTCCCAATCCTGGCTGTTGACTGGAACTCCCCAGTAGAAGCATTTTAAGCTAAGACATCATCATTTTAAAAATGTTGTTAGCTGGGTGGTGGTGGTGCACATCTTTAATCCCAGCACTCGGGAGGCACAAGCAGGAGGATCTCTGTGAGTTCAAGGCCAGCCTGGACTACAGAGTGAGTTCCAGGAAAAAAAGCACAAAGCTACACAGAGAAACCCTGTCTCAAAAAAACAAACAAACAAAAACAAAACAAAACAAAATGTTGTTGCTGTGAACTTCTAACTTGACCAGCTGACATTTTGGAATTTATTCCTTACCTCCTAACAACTGTAATGGTAGGAGGAAACACTGAGAAGGGAGGGCTCCTCATTTTAATATTTTTACAGTCTTTAGTACTAGCCTTCATGTCAGACCATATCACCTAAACACAAACTATAACAACAACAACAACAACACAATAAAAGGAAAAACACTTGTGGTTTAATTCTTTGCTTTAAATGATCGCAAATTATGTGCAAAGGAAACATGTGTAGTTGCAAAGGCTTCCACAGGATGATGGCTGACTTATTCCCAAAGTCCAGTTCATCACATTGAGATGGTCAAATGTGTAAGAGGTCTAGAAGCCAATGGGTTAGATATGTAACATTTTTACATAAAAATCCTTCTAAACGTGATTTAATTAAATAGGATTTGCTAACAGGGCAGAAGAATGTCACATTGTGACTCATGTCCTACCTACATTTTCCTGTTGGAACTTCTCTACTAACAGATGAGTGATCTAATTTTATGTTGGATCAACTCCACAGTTTGATGGAGTTATAGCTTCGAATGGGCATCAGTTGATTGTTGTATATTTAAATGTTCTTCAGGACTATGCAATCACCTTGTTCATTTCAGAAAAAGCTAAAGTTATGAAGAAAATGTTCAGTGACCTCATTACTAATAGGTATAAGCCATATTTTATCTGGAGGCAAACAGAAGTCCCCAAAGATCCAGAAGTGTCAAAACTGTAAACTAAAGGGAGAAAGAACTTGCACTGTTTTCAGGCAATACCCTAAACCAGGTTCCCAAACACATAGTCTGCCTGCCCTTAGAACTAGATGAGGTGAACTTCAGAAGCCAGCCTAGGCTCAGTCCAAACAAAATTTCCCAGATAATCTAATGTCCAAGTAACATCAGATTATTTTACAAAATGAATTTGCAAAGCTGATGTACCACACACAGGGAACCCAAAACTGTAAATTAACTAGCTATTATAAACAATTATTTAATCATAACAAAATATGCAGGTGTTTTACTTCCTAATGATATAATTTTGCAAAGTCAAACATTCAACAAATAGCCAGGCAGTGGTGGCGCACACCTTTAATCCCAGCACTCAGGAGGCAGAGCCAGGCGGATCTCTGTGAGTTTGAGACCAGCCTGGTCTACAGAGTGAGATCTAGGAAAGGCTCCAAAACTACACAAAGAAACCCTGTCTTAAAAAACAAACAAAAACAAACAAACAAACAAACAAAAAAACACATTCAAGGAATATTTATGAGGTCTCACTTTGTGTCTTGAGCTGTACTATGGCTCAGTACCCCCTTCTGTGACATATACTATCTGTGATGTAGAAATCCCTATTAGCAAGAGTCATAAGACAGGGTTTCAGAAGACAGACAGCTTGCATCGAAATCCTATTACTTAAATAGCTGTGTGACTTTGGAAAATCCATTTTTTTTTTCTGTTCATCTCTGCTCATCTGTAAAATGGAGGGACTCTGCTTAGCTAACAGCCCCTGAGAAGGGCATCCTCAGAAGGGCAAAGAAAGTCATTCAAGAGAAAATAATAGTAGACCCTAAGAACTCAAAGGTAGGAATTTCAGGGACTGTAACATTCAGACTACTGAGTCCTGCTCTCAGAGTTTCTGACTCAGTTTTGTCTGGAATGGGATCTGGGGGTTGTGTCTTTGCCTAAGTCACTGCCTATGCTCCCAAAGAGATGATCACAGCAGGAAGTGAGTGGCAGTGGGTTTTTTTGTTTGTTTGTTTTTTGTTTTTGTTGTTGTTGTTTTTAGATGAATTATGTTCAGTAGGAGTTCTGGAATTCCTAATTAAGATCTTGGGATCAGAAATTTAGTTAAAAGGAGCAAAAAACCTTTTTAGCAGGTTGTGTATATTTGAATGGATTGAGGTGATGAGGATAATGTCTAGGGAGACAAATGAACTAGCAGCCTATATTTTGTATCTGACTCCTTTAGACCCATCATGTACTAACTAGTTCAGGGTTTAAAGAGTTGGCAAAAAAAATTACAGGATGTCCAGTTACATTTGAATTTGAGATAAAGTAAAGCATTTTAATCAAGTGAGGGAACCCTGCAGTGGTTCAGAAAGCTCGGTTCAGATTGACTTGTCAACTTAGATCAGGACTTCGGAGAACTGATGCCAGGCAGTTTATTCCCAACAAATTTAAACACAGTATAGTATGGAAAAAAGTTTCCTGGTGTAGTACAATCTCTGGTGAATAAGGAAGTGTAATTATATTGAAACTCAACTCAGGGTACATGCCGTTTCTTCTAAGAAGATGGGTTCTAGAGATAGACTGCCTCTATTAGCTTAAGGGCCTAGGGAAGGCTCCAGCTTGATCTCAGTCATACAAATAGCATACATTTGGGCTATTAGCCACCTTTGGTCCTGGTTATGGGAGCTTGGGGGAGCCTCTGGTTATAAAGGTCAGTTAGATTACTAGCCGCCTCTGGTCATACCTGTAGGAGCTTGATATGGCCTGGTGCAACAGATATCACAGAACAGCAGGCTATTAATCACCTCCAATTCTCAGCTTTCTGGATGGAAGAACAGGTTTTATGTGCATTCCTTTGAGAGGACAATCCTGCATGCTTAACACTCCTGGTTTTCCCTGGAGATCTGTGGACACAAGGACCTTCATGCTGTGCTCCCAACAACCAAGTATTGCCTGTATAATATTTGGGACAAATTGGACACATACTAACAAAATAATGTGCTTATCTGAAATTCCATTTTAAGTACACATCTTTTATACTATCTAACAATATAAGCTTTCTTCTCCTTGCTTGCCATAGACGAATCATTTGTATTAGTTGTCCCCGGCCTCTACTTGCCAAGTCTTATGTGTTGAAGTCCTAAACCCTCATGTGATGGTTTGGGAGGATGATTAGGACATGAGGGAAGAGGCTTCATGAATGGGATTAGCATGTAAGCAACCTGTGAGCTCCCCATAACTTGTTACAGTTTGAGAACACAGCATGAGCACTATCTCTAAGTCTAGAAACAAGTCCCCAATAGACACAAAGTTGGTTTTGCAATGATCTTGAATCTTCCAGCATTTGGAACTGTGAGGAATAAATTTCTATTGTTTATAAGCCACCTGTCCCATGGCATATTGTCATAGTGGTCTACCAGAAACCAAAGGGTTGACAGCAGCCTAACATTTTAGAGTTCTGGTGGCCAGATATCTAAAAGGTATCCATAAGGGAACCTTCTGCTTGGAAATCATTTTCCTTTTCCAAAGCTAGCTAGATGGTGCCTTCTTTCTTTTCTGATCTCAGTGTCTCTTGCCACCATGCCCTTCCCCTGGTCTCTCTTTCCTTTGCCTCCCTTCCTCTACTCTTAATAGACTTGTTCAGGTAGTACAGGATAATCCACTCATCTCGAAATTCTCAGCTTCAAGATTAATCACAGCTACAAAATGTAGTGGTAAGTTTCTATGGTCCTGCCCGACCTCACGGTCCTGCAGCTGCTTATAAAATAATCACTCAGAGGCTTAATATTATTTACAAACTGTATGGCCTTACGGTAGGCTTCTTGTTAGCTAGCTCTTTCATCTTAAATTAACCTATTTTTATTAATCTATGTTTTTCCACTTAGCTGTGGCATTACTGGTCTGCTGGTATTTTGCTACTTCTCAGGCAGTAGCTAGGCGTCTCTCCCTATTCTCCTTTCTTCTCTCTGAAGCTCTGCTTGGATTTCTCACCTCCCTCTAAGCTGCCTTGCCATAGGCCAAAACAGCTTTATTTATTAGCCAATGGGAGCAACAAATATTCACAGCATACAGAAAGACATCCCACCACAACAAAATATTTGCCACATTGAGTGACATATTCACCATTTTCAGAGATCAGAATATGATCTTTGAGAAATGTCATTAAATTGCCTACCTTGCAACTCTCTTGACATTTATGTGCATTACAGTCAGCTAATCCCACTTCTTAGTCTCTGTTCTATTGCTATGAAGAGACACCATAACCAAGGCAACTTTTTTTTTTAAGGTTTATTTATTATGTATACAGCAGATATGACTGTAGGCCAGAAGAGGGCACCAGATCTCATTACAGATGGTTGTGAGCCTGTGGTTGCTGGGAATTGAACTCAGGACCTCTGGAAGAGCAGTCAGTGCTCTTAACCTCTGAGCCATCTCTCCAGCCCTCCCCCAAGGCAACTCTTATAAAGAATGCATTTAATTGGGGGCTTGCTTACAGTTTCATAGGTTTTGTCCATTATCATCATGGTGGGGAGCATGGTGGTGTGCAGACAGGAGCTGAAGCAGTAGTTGAGAGCTTTACAGCTTGATCCACAAGCAGAGAGGGACACAGGGCATACAGTGAGCTTCTGAAACCTCAAAGTCCATTCCCAGTGACTCACTTCCTCCAACAAGGCCACACCTCCTAATCCTTGTAATCCTTTCAAACAGTTCCACTCCCTGGTGACTAAGCATTCAAACACATGAGCCTATGGGGGCCATTCCTATTCAAACCACCACACCCCACAATAAAAATTTAAGGTACAACTGCATTTGTAGAAATCTAATGATTAAAGATATTAAAGTTTAATAACAGCAACGTTTATTAAAATTCTCTTATCTGGGTGTAGTGGTTCATGCCTATAATCCCAGTATATGGGAGACTGAGGCAGGAGGGTTATCATGAGTTTATAGCTATCTTGGACTACCCTGGATGACAGTGAACTTCAGACCAGCCTGAGCTATGACATGAAACTGTCTCAAACAAAACAAAAGTTTATTCTCTTCATACTAAATTGCCTTGCAGGAAAGAATAGATTATGTCTGTAAAAGCCTGTTTGTTTCAGAAAAGAAGGAGAAATCACATGGGCTGGAAAGAGGGCTCAATGGGCGGTAAAGTGATTGCTGCAGGAGTATGAGGATCCAAGTTCAGATCCCTAGAAGTCATGTAAAGCTGAACTGTATGTGTCTGTAATCCCAGCACTTATGGAGAGGTGGGAGGCTGAAATAAGAGCATGCCTGAAGCTGGGTGGTGGCGCACGCCTTTAGTCCCAGCACTCGGGAGACAGAGCCAGACGGATCTCTGTGAGTTTGAGGCCAGCCTGGGCTACATACAGAGTGAGTTCCAGGACAGGCTCCAAAGCTATACAGAGAAACCCTGTCTCGAGAAAACAAAAACAAACAGAGAGAGAGAGAGAGAGAGAGAGAGAGAGAAAGAGAGAGAGAGAGAGAGAGAGAGAGAGAGAGAGAGAGAGACATGCCTGAAAGCTCTTGAGTCATCTAGCCTGGAACACATAAGGGCAAATAACAACATACTCCACTTCAAACAAACTGGAAGGCAGGACTGACGTGAGTGCTGTCCTCTGACTTCCACATGTGATGTGGTGTGCATACACTTTCCACACACATGCACATAGAGATTAAAAAGAGAAATTATGGAGTGCTTGCTGTGAGATGCTGAAGATTTAGAAGACTGGCTTACCCAAGTGTGTTGGTTTGGAAGACAATGGCCCCCAAAGGGGATGGCACTATTAGGAGGTGTGGCCTTATTCAAGTAGGTGTGGCCTTATTGGGGGAAAGTGTCACTGTAGGGGTGGACTTTGAGATCTCCTAGGCTCAAGCTACACCCTGTGAGACAGATCACTTTCTGTTGCTTTCAGGATCAAGTTGTAGCTCCTTCTCCAGCACCATGTCTGCCTGCATGCCGCCATGTCCTGCCATGATAATAATGAACTGAACCGCTGAAACTGTAAGCCACCCAATGAAATGTTTTCACAGCATAAGAGTTGCTGTGGTCATGGTGTCTCTTCACAGCAATAGAAACTCTAAGACATCAAAAATGTATGAAACTTTTCTACAAACATGAATAAGAGCTCGCTTGAGTGTCCTGTGTCCTTAGTCTGCTGGCTATCTTGAAAGCTAATGAACTAAGTGTATGAACACAATTCCTGTCTGCTGGCCATATAAGCCCATTTTACCATGGTCTTTGCATATTATTCTTTCTGTTTGAAACACCTTTAACATCACCATTTTCTAGAATTCTACTAAACAGTCCTGTGCTCAGATAGCACTGATCAGTGAACAAAATGATTCATTTGCTTTGGGTTTTATTGCTGATTGAAGCAACTCTAAATTCTCTGAACTGAAAGATTTTTTTCCACTTCCTATTCTAGAACAGTTTTTTTTTCTCCTCCTCCTTCTTCTTTTTAGGACAGAGTCTCACAGTGTTCACTGGGCTGGAATACATAGACTAGGCTGGTCTTGAACTCATGAAGATCCACTAGTCTCTGCCTTCCCAGTCCTGGGAGTAAAGCCTTGTGCTACCAAATCCTGTTGTGATCATTCTTAAGACACAATAAAAACTCAAATATTTAGTAAGCACATACATTCCAGAAGTTTTACTAATGGAGACAAAAATGTATCACTGACAGAATAAAAAGGTGAGAAATGAAACCTACTGGGATCAATGTAGTCACAGCTTACAACTTTCTCTCTCTCTCTCTCCACCTCCGTTTTTCAAGACAGGGTTTCTCTGTATAGCCCTGTCTGTCACTCTATAGACCAGGCCTCAAACTCACAGAGATCTGCTTGCCTCTGCTTCCTGAGTGCTGGGATTAAAGGTGTGCACCAGCTGCAACTTCTAAAGGAAAAGGAAACAGTAACATGCAAGCTTTTTCTTGGTGTTTCCTCTTCACCGTGCTTTCTACACATACTGACTCATCCTTATTTCTCATAGGTTGCAGCCTATTACAAAGCATATATTCTAAGTAACTTGCCCAGAATCACAGAAACAGTCAAGAGCAGTGGCTGATTTGAGACCAGACAATTCAGAGTTCCTGGGTTTAAGTATTTCATATTTCAACTCCCCAAAAGCCTAGCATTAAGCCTTCCACCATTACTAAAGTTTCTGTGAGATAGAAGAGGTGGCCTGCTTCCCCCTAGGGCACAGACGGGTGTTGAACGCTCTTAAGATTTCAGAGCTCTGAAAATCACTATTAGTGTTATTAGTGTTCTCATAGTAAGTGTTCCTTCTGATGCTAATTCTTTAGTTAATAAACAAAGACAGTGGGGCTGGGCAATATGACTTCCTATTCAGCACCTGTTGGACTCTCTCTGCTGTCCCAACAAAAGAACTGTCAGTCAGTCAGCTGTATCTCTACAAACAGTACCAGCCTTCTTGACTATTCCACTGACACTCTGATAACATTACATACTGACTGCAGCTGGTTGCCAGTCTCCTGGACTCAGCCATGGTGGTTAGGAACAGTTTGTACCAGATTTTCTGTATTAGGGCATCTTAAACTTTTTCCACTCTTACCCCCTTTTCACCTGAGAAAGTTTTACATAACCCCAAGTATGTAAGTATGTAAACTACGCATACAAGTAAAATATACAACAAATTATAAGGAAACTTCTTTAAATAAAAAGGATAAAAGGAATTTTGCATACTAATAAAATGGAGGTACTTGGGTATATGTGCAAATGTGCATATCTGTGTGATGATGCATGTGTGCTGTGCACAGTATCCTTGGAGACCAGAAGAGTGTTCAGATCTCCAGGTGCTGAAGTTATAGGTGGTTGTACAGTGCCCCAGGTGGGTGCTAAATTTGATAACTCAGATCCTGTGAAAGACCAAGTATTTTTAACTCTAAGCCATTTTTTCCAGTCCCTACACCAAAAATTTTAACACAATATTATCCAAAGATATATTTATCCAGTATATGTTGCTGGATGGTGATAGAAAAACATTAAATTCTTTGTTTTCCACAGTTAAACCATTATGTTTCTGAGGAAACAAAAGTCCAGATACAGTAAAAGATGAAGGCTCAGGATCACTTAGTGAGTTGCCTGAAAGACACTAACCTGTGCTGTCTCCTCTGGTTTTGAAGCATCTGACCTAATAAAAGTTTTCTTTCCAGTGATCTTTTCCTGTCTTTCTGTTCTGTGACCTGAGGGGAAACATGAAAAGCAGCTAGGACAGCAGAGCGTGGTGATGGCAGACGCAGCGGAGCGAGCTGGCAGCCGAGCTGAGACAGCGGCAAGGCAGCTGGCAGCCCAACCCCTGACAAAGCAGCACCTGGGCAGTTCAAAAGCAGCCTGGACTGGAAGAAAGGCTGCACTGGACAAGGACGGCCAGAGGGAACAGAGAGCAAGACCAGCAACTGCAGTCCTGATAACTAGCAAGCATCAGAGCTGTCAAGTCTTTGGGGCCGAGGTCTCCGACGTGAGCCAAGAACTGTAGCACTGAATCCCAGAAACAAGATCAGTCAGGAAACTGCTAGCTAGCCAAGAGCTGGGGAAATCCCTGCTTCCCAAATCCATGCAAGAGTTGTTATGACTTGTAGGGATAGGTGGATTCTGTTAGTTCCAGACCAACCAGTGATATATAGTGAGATTGTCACTTGAAAAAAAAAAAAAAAGGTAGGAACAGGGGACATGAGCACTAGAAGGCCACCTACTGCTGCCCCACTTTTGCCAGCTGCCAAATACCATCCCTCCCCTCTCTTAATTAAAAAAAAAATCTTGTATGCACTGGTGTTTGACTTGCATGTCTTTGTGAGGGATTCAGATCCACTGGACTTGGAATTACAGACAGTTGTGAACTGCCATGTGGATGCTGGGGATTGAACTGGGCCCCCCTAGAAGAGCAGCCAGTACTCTTAACCGCTGAACCATCTCTCCAGCCAAATACCATCTCTTGATGTGGGTAGACCAGGACACTGGCCAGCAAATGGGGAACACGTTTGCGTCTGTAAAAAATAAGCCTTGCCGACTTAAAACGACAAACGAGGTTTCAGTGCACCGGGATGGAAAGCGTCGCTTCACTTCTTTTCTTGTCCCCTGGTCTCAAGTGAACTACCTTCCGCCTGCTACATCCTCCCAAAACCATAACTTGGTTGGTCCTCACCATCACCAAGCGCTTACGAGGATTCTCCACCGGCCCGCCCGCATCACCCTTCCGGCTTTCTTTGACAGAAGTTAGCATCCTCTGGAGACTGCCCACAACCTGGGTCAGTCTGGAAGCTGGTAGAAGGCCAGAGTCAAGAGCTGGGGAAATCCCTGCTTCTTACCCCCAACCCCAGCCCCGCAAGCAAGAGTTGTAGGGATAGGTGGATCGCTGTTGAGTTCCAGGACAGCCAGAGATACGCAATGAGATTCTGTCTTAAAAAACAAAACAAAACAAAAAACAAAAAAATCCAGGGCTGTGCTGCAGACGCTCATTTCCTCTGCAAAGCCCCCCGGGTCCAGCCACGAACTTCTGAAAGATAAACTGCACAGCCCCTCCCTGCAGCAGCCGTCCGGGATCTCTAGCCCCGCCCACACCGCGCTCCGAACCCGCGCGCCTGGATGACGTCAATTTTCCACGCCGGGAAGAAGCTAGCGTGTGGAGTTTTCTTGGTGCGCTTTTTCTTCTGCGTGTCCCGACACTATGAAGGAAACGCCGCTCTCCAACTGCGAGCGCCGCTTCCTTCTCCGGGCCATCGAGGAGAAGAAGGTGCGAGGCAACGGTGGCTTTGGGCGTAGACTCGGGTTGCCCGCGGGGTGGACTCCGGTGGCCCGTGGATTCATTGTCAATTTGGTCTGTAGTGTGGTGGTGGTGTGGACTGGTTCCCAGTGTGAATTCTGCCCATTTCCCCGGCCCCAGGCCAATGTTTTATCCTGGCCAATTTCTTTGAGCCGCAAGCCACCAATATTTGTCAGTGCCGGGGGTGTTGGGGACCAGGACCAGACAAAGTTGATACTCATAAATATGTTAAAGAAGTAAATGTTTGCTTACAGCGGCTGGATGGGAGACAAACCTATGATTACAGGAACATCAGGATCTCATTCGGAACAGATTATGGATGCTGTATTGTAGAACTTGGGAAAACAAGGTAACAGGATTCAATTAGATAAAGCCACAGGAGGTATGAAAATTACATACTGACTCAGTTGTTCACCGAGCAGCTCAAAAATCCAATCAGTGCTTTCTTTTATCTGATGAGAAATGTGTTTCTTTAATGCAAGCCTTTTTGGTTTTCTGGTCACACTTTAACTTTTAACCATGAGTGCTTTCTCCTATATGAATATCATAGTGCCTCGTGATCTTTACAAATCATGTAGGCAGCTGACATCGATCACACAGAATTTGTTACCTGTATGTCTCTCATATTTTAATGTGAGGATGTCTCAGTTTCCCTTTTATTCTTGAGTGATATAAGAAGCAAGAGATTTCCTTTATGCCATCCTTTTTAGGTATATGTGTGTGTGTGTGTGTGTGTGTGTGTGTATGTATTTCTGCACAGAATCTTACATTTAAACATTATTATTCTGTATGTGAACGTTTGTGTGCCAGCTTTGCTGGCCCCAGTCTACTACATTCTATATGTAATTTCTGCTTTTAAGTCACATTGTGTTATTTAGAATTGATATGTTATTCATTTCATTTTTTTTTCATTGAAAGGGAAGTATGTTTAGTTGACTGCTTTGTACCTTTATTTTTTGCAGAGTTCTTGGGCAGGTTTCCTGTGAACTTGTTTCTCCAAAACTCAATAGGGCAACAGAAGGTATTCTGTTTTTTAACCTTGAACTTTCTCAGATGGCTGCTCCAGCTTTTGAACCTGGCAGGTATTTTGCTCTTTCTTAAGCTCCTTTAGCCATAGAAGAATTTAACAACAGTAAACTGTTCTTTTAATGCTCAGAGTTGTAGTTCATGACATTAGTTCATTCTTGTTTCCATAGGCAGTCAGATCTCTTGGTGAAGCTAAATCGACTCTTGGAAAGGTGTCTAAGAAATTCAAAGTGTATAGACACTGAATCTCTCTGTGTTGTTGCTGGTGAAAAGGTGGGAATTATGCTCCAGATTCATAACAATGGATACTGTTATTCAGACACAAAACATTTGGGAGACTGGAAAGATGGTTCAGTGATTAAGAGCACTGGTTACTCTTTCAGCATCTGGCTTCAGTTCCCAGCACTTACATGTCAGCTCACAACTACCTGCAACTCTAGTTCCAGAGGATCTAACACTTAGGGTCTTTGGGGGCACCAGGCATGAGTGGGGCACACATATACATGCAAGTAAATGTACACACATGTAAACTAAAAATGAACATTTTTAAAAAAGCATAATTAGCTGTGCGGTGGTGGCGCACGCCTTTAATCCCAGCACTCGGGAGGCAGAGCCAGGCAGATCGCTGTGAGTTCGAGGCCAGCCTGGGCTACCAAGTGAGCT